CCCCCCGACGCTGCCCACAGAGGCCCCAAAGGCGCCCACAGAGGCTCCAGCCCGCAGGGGCCCCGAGCGCGCCCACAGAGGCTTCCGCGCGCTGTCCACTGAGGCCCCCGACGCAGCCCACAGAGGCCCCAAACGCGCCCACAGAGGCCTTAGCCCGCAGAGGTCCCAAGTGCGGCCACAGAGGTCCCGGCGCGCTGCCCACTGAGGCTCTCGACGCAGCCTACAGAGGCCCCAGCCCACAGGCCCCAAGCGCACCCGCAGAGGCCCCAGCGCGCTGCCCACTGAGTCCCCCCGACACAGCCAACAGAGGCCTCTGGTGCCCCAATAGGCCCCAGCCCGCAGGGGCCCCGAGCGCGACTGCAGAGGCCCCAGCGCGCTGCCCACTGAGGCTCCCCAGCGCAGCCCACAGAGGCCCCAAGCGCACCCACAGAGGCCCCAGCCCGCAGAGGTCCCAGGAACGGCGCTCTCGCATGAGACTTCTTCGCAATCCCACCAGCCCTTTGGGCGTGAGTGGTTTAGAGAGCCCGCTCTGTTCTCAACCCCCCTTCTTCCCCTTCGGGGAGGGGTTTACCCCTCCCCCTACCCCCTGCCCCTGGGCCTGGAGAGGGCGTTTCGCGGGTGGTTGGAGGGGTCTTTTTCGACTCCTGGGAGGGCTAAAATTCGACACCCCTCACGAGGATTCTGGCCCCGACGGGGGGGGGAAGAAAGGCGCTCGCCCCATCTGTGATCGATCGCCCGACAGATTGCCCCAAGATTCCTCCCAGACCCCTCCCAAAGAGCCCCAAGAGGCCCCAAGAGGCCTCCAAGAGGCCCCCAAGATGCCCCCAAGAGGCCCCCAAGAGGCCCCAAGAGGCTCCCCCGAGGCACCCAAGACGCTCCTGGAAGCCCCTGGAGCCGCCAAGAGGCTCCCAAGACGCTCCAAACGGCCTCCACGAGGCTCCCAAGAGGCCCGAAGAGGCTCCCCCAAGGCACCCAAGACGCTCCTAGAAGCCCCTGGGGCCGCCAAGAGGCGCCGAAGACGCCCCAAAAGGCTTCCAAGAGCCTCCCAAAAGACATCTACTACTACTTCTTCTTCTACTACTACTACTACAACATCTACTACTACTACTACTACTACTACTACTACTACTACTACTACTACTACTACTACTACTACTACTACTACTACTACTACTACTACTACTACTACTACTACTACTACTACTACTACTACTACTACTACTACTACTACTACTACTAAGACAACTACTACTACATCATCTACTACTACTACTCCTCCCAACTCCTTCGCTCCCTCCTCCTCCGACTCGTCCTCCTCCGGCTCCCCCACACGGAGGCTGTACAAGGAGGCAAAAGGAAGTAGGAACAGAGGATATATGCGAAGGCAGGCAGACACACGCCTGCACTAAAGGACTGTCGGCATGCTTCGCTGGGGTTGCTGTTCGGAGATACTACTACTACTACTACTACTACTACTACTACTACTACTACTACTACTACTACTACTACTACGACTAACTACTACTACTACTACTAGTAGTAGTAGTAGTAGTAGTAGTAGTAGTAGTAGTAGTACTACTACTACTACTACTATACTACTACTACTACTACTACTACTACTACTACTACTACTACTACTACTACTACTACTACTACTACTACTACTACTACTACTAACTACTACTACTACTACAACTACACAACAACTACTACGACGACTACTACTAGTAGTACTACTACTACTACTACTACTACTACTACTACTACTGCTGCTACTACTAGTACTACTACTGCTACGACTGCTACTACTGCTACTACTACTACTACTACCACTACTAATTCTACTGCGACGGCTACTGCTACTGCTACTGCTACTGTTAGTGTCACTGTTACTGCTACTACTACTACTACTACTACTACTACTTCTATAACTACCACTGCTACTGCTACTACTACTAGTACTACTAATACTAGTTCATCAGCTACTACTACTACTACTACTACTACTATTACTACTACTACTACTGCTACTACTACTACTACTACTACTACTGCTGCTGCTGCTACTACTACTACTACGACCACTACTACTACTCCTACTACTACTACTACTACTACTACTATTACTACTACTACTACTACTACTACTACTACTACTACTACTACTACTCCTACTACGAGGGGCCCGCACGACTCGCACCAGGACGAGGTGCCCGAACGCCTCACACCACGAGGAGCCCGAACGACTCACACCAGGACGAGGGGCCCGAACGACTCACACCACGAAGAGCCCGAACGACTCACACCTGGAGGAGGGGTCCGAACGACTCACACCGGGACGAGGCGGCCGAACGACTCACACCACGAGGAGCCCGAACGACTCACACCAGGACGAGGGCCCCGAACGACTCACACCACGAGGAGCCCGAACGACTCACACCAAGAGGAGCGGCCCGAACGACTCACACCAGGACGACGTGCCCGAACAACTCACACCACGAGAAGCCCGAACGACTCACACCAGGACGAAGAGCCCGAACGACTCACACCACGAAGAGCACGAACGACTCACACCACGAAGAGCACGAACGACTCACACCAGGAAGAAGGGCCCCAACGACTCACACCACGAAGGCCCGAACGACTCGAAGTACGAGAAGCCCGAACGGCTCACACCAGGACGAGGGGCCCGAACGACTCACACCACGAGGAGCCCGAACGACTCACACCAGGAAGAGGGGCCCGAAGGACTCACACAAGGACGATGGGGCTGAACGACTCACACCACGAGGGGCCCCAAGGACTCCCACCAGTCGCCGTCGTCGTCGTCGTCGTCGTCGTCGTCGTCGTCGTCGCCGCCGCCTTCGTCGTCGTCGTCGTCGACGTCGTCGTCGTCGTCGTCGCGGTTGTGGTCGATATCGTCGTCGTCGTCGGGTGCGTCGTCGTTGTTAGGATCATCGCTGTGGTCGTCGTCTCCGCTAAATCCCTCTTGCCTCCCACCGCTTTCTCTCCCTCCTCCTCCGCCTCGTCCTTCTCCCGCTCCCACCACAAGGAGGATGTACAAGGAGGCGGGAGGAAGGAGGAACAGGGGAGATATGCGGGGGCAAGCGGACACACGCCTGAAAAACACGACTGTCGGCATGCTTCGCAAGAGTTGCTGTTTTGAGATGGGCTGGTGGGGATACGCGAAGCGTAAAGAATTAATCAAGTTCGCGGATGCCCAGCCGCGACGGCAAGGCTCCCGCTCGATATTTCCTCGCGATCTGGGAGGCCCTGGCCAGAGAGGTTCCCGAACTCAGGACCAGCGCTCTCGCTGTGGACATCCTCGCAACTCAGTCAAATTAGTGGGGACGCAGCCGTGATGACAAGGGCTCCCGCTCGATGCTTCTTCGCGATTTGCTCCGAGAGGCCCTCTCGCGTGGTCCATCCTTCTCTTCCCCCGTCCGTCCTCCCTTCCCCTGTTTTAGGGGTTGCGCTAAATGTGCGCGGCAGGTAAGGAAGATATACTCCCGAGGGGGTACGGTCGAAGACAAAGAGGTCGTGCATCGAGGGTTTGGGATATACGTGTTGCGTGGCACGCGATCAAGTGAGAACAAACTGTTTCAACACGATTGTTGTGGTTGTTGTTGTTGTTGTGGTTGTTGTTGTTGTTGTTGTCGTTGTTGCTGTTGTTATTGTTGTGGTTGCAGTAGGTGTAGTTGTAGTTGTAGTTGTTGCTGTTGTTGTCGTTGTTGTTGTGGTTGTTGTTGTGACTGTTGTAATTGTTGTTGTGGTTGTTGTTGTGACTGTTGTTGTTGTTGATGCTGTTGTTGTTGCTGCTGTTGTTGTTGCTGCTGCTGGTAGTGTTGCTGCTGTTGTTGTTGTTGTTGCTGTTCTTGTTGTTGTTGTTGCTGCTGTTGTTGTTGTTGTTGTTGTTGTTGTTGTTGTTGTTGTTGTTGTTGTTGTTGTTGTTGTTGTTTTGTTGTTATGGTTGCTGTGGTTATTGTTGTTGTTGTTGTTGTTGTTGTTGTTGTTGTAGTCGTTGTTGTTAGTGTCGTTGTGCATTGTGATGTTTGTTGTGATTACTGTAATGGTGCGGCTGCTGATGAGAAGGAGAGTGGAGGGCGGAGGGAGGACTAGAGGACGGCATGAGGGAGGGAGGGTGAGGGAGGGACAAGGGAGAAAAGAAGGATGAAGACGACGGAATGAGGGATGGATGCGGAGGAGGAGGAGGAGGAGGAGGCGGGGGAGGAGGAGGAGGCGGAGGAGGAGGATGAAGAGGAGGAGGAGGATGAGGATGAGGATGAGGAGGAGGAGGAGGAGGAGGAGGAGGAGTTGGAGGGCTAGAAGGAGGGAGGATGCCGAAGAGGAGGAACAATTGGATGATGTGGGTGGAGAATGCATGAATTCAGAAGTCGGGAAGGAACGTGGAGAAAACGAAGAGGGGAAGGGGGAGGAGGAGGGTGAGGAGGAGGAGGAGACGGATGAGGAAGAGGAGGAGGTTGAAGATGAGTATGAGGAAGACCAGGGGTATAAGAAGGAGGAGAGTGTGAGGGAGGGAGAGGGAGAGACACATGGAGGGGTGAACAGAGGAGGATGAGGCGGAGGATGGATTCATGGTGGGAGGGAGGGAGGGAGGGAGACAGAGAGAGATGAGGTAGAGGTAGAGGAAGAGGTAGAGGATGAGGGAGGGAGGGAGGATGAGGTAGAGGAAGATGGTGGAGGGATGTATGTTTGGAGGGAGAGACGAAGAGGTCGAGGACGAGGATGTCGATGATTGAGGATGATGGAGGTGGGAGGAAAAGGATGAGGACGGAGGCATGATGATGATAATCATATCAAGGATGATGATGCTGATGCCGATAATGGTGATGGTGATGGTGATGATGATGATGATGGTGATGATGGTGGTAGTGATTATGGTGATGGTGATGGTGATGGTGATGGTGGTGATGATGATGATGATGATGATGGTGCTGATGATGCTTGTGCTGATGCTGATGCTGATGCTGATGACGATGGCGATGGCGATGGTGATGATGCTGATGATGATGATGATGATGATGATGATGGTGATGCTGACGGTGATGACGATGACAATGATGACGATGATAATGATTATTGCCATCTTGGTTATGATGGCGGTACTGATGGTGATGAATCTAATGCAGGAAGAAGGCGAGAACCAACCATCTTGATTCGAGGTCGGCAGGGATCAAGCCAAATCCCGTTCAGGAACACAATGGGGAATGACAGGGCAAGGATGATACGGAGGAGGCGGAGGAAGAGTAGGAGGACGAGCAGGAGGAGGAGGAGGAGGAGGAGGAGGAGAACGAAGAGTAGAAGGGGGATGAGGAGGAGGATGTTTAGGGTGACAAGGAAGACGAGGAGTAGGGAGAGGAGGAGGAGGAGGAGGAGGAGGAGGAGGAGGAGGAGGAGGAGGAGGATGACGATGACGATGATGAGGAGGACAGAAGGAGGGGAGGGCCTCACAGGTCGAGCAATGGCTCCTTCGAGATCGAGGCCGCTGGCCGGGGGGGCGGGGGGCAGATCCGCGAGGTGATGCTGTGCGCTTTCTTATATCTAATTCTCGTATGTCTGCTGTGACGCAGATCCAGATCCATGCTCCCTCTTCCGCTGGTTATGGCAAATCATGGCGGGAGATTCTGAGCCTGGGGGCGGCCTGCTGAGCATGAAAAACGACTCAAGATGAAAAACCGGTCCTGGAGAACGGGTCTTGACAAACATCACCATGCCAGAGCTCTGGATCTCGACCAGTGCAACCACTGATCCGGTGGGGGCGTTCGTCAAGGAGTGTGCCGAAGAGGCTGCAGACCCTGGAGGATCCCTTACCTGATGAGGGCGGCGGTGGTGGCATCCATTGCCGATGCGCGAGTCGGAGTTTCACCGGCCTCCAGACGCCGGATACCCCTCACCTCGGGGCTTCCCTGTCCTCTGCCCCCCCCGCCGTGCTCTCCTCGGGCCTGCAGGGCGCTCCAGCGGGGGCCTCGCCCCGCAGGGGCCCAGCAGCTGGCCTCCCTCGGGCGGCCGCCCGCGGAGGCACCGAGGGGGGGCGGCTCCACCGGCGGAGGGCCCGCAGAGGCCGGCGGAGCGCGCCGCCCAGGGCCGCCGAGCGCGTTCCGCGGCGCGCAGAGGGCCTGCCTCGCGAGCGCCAGGAGAGCACAGCGTTGCCCCCCACGTTGATGGGCTTGGTTTCCACCACCACTACCATAGGTTGGAGGGAGAGGTCCTCCTCCTCCTCTTCTTTCCCCTCCTCCTCCTTCTCCAACATATGGTAGTGGTGGTGGAAATCAGTCCCATCACACGTGCTGGGTGGTGAGGCCCCCGCGGCGGATCCAGGCCCTTGGCGAGCCGCTGCTCGGCGAGCGGTGGAACGCGCTCGTCCACAGGGAGCGCCGCCGACTTTGGGCTGGGGCTCTCCGGAGCCGGCCGCGTGTCGCAGGGAGCCGTGCCTGCGCGCTGGGGGCACCCCGCGGTCGTTGGGGCAGGGGGTGCCTCCGAGATCACGCGGGACGGAAGGGGGTCCGCCCCCGTGGGGCCAGGGAGAGGTAGGCTCGATTCCTTGGATTTCCCGCGTTCAGGGCCGTATTGGCCTCAACATATTTTTGTGGTCCCTCGTGTGTCCTGGGGAATTCCTCCGGGAACTCCTTCGCCCGGGCCAGCCTTCTTCTCAGAAGTTTGTTTCCCTAAGTTTGCCCTTCGCTGACTTTGGACCCCAGAGTCTAACCCCAATCAGCAGGCGAATGATCATCAAGAACAGAAGAAACCCTTATCCTGCCCTGATAACACGATGAAGACGTGGCCTCACTGAGGTCCCCGTCCTCGCATTAGGGATACTAGGTCTGGGCGGTTTGGTCTGATGCATCCGCAGAGAAGGCCCCCTATCCCTGATGCTTTTGGCCCTCCTAACTTAGTAGGTCCCCTCCCAGAGGGTTAGGGGTCCTTGTCTTGCTTATCGACTGAGGATACGGAAATGCGGGGGTACGAGATCTGCTGCCTGCAGCGGGTCTCTGGGTCCCACCGCCAGGGCGCTCTCCTCGATGCACATCGGCGCGCCGGGCGCCGGGAGGCGCCGGGAAAGTCGGCCCACATGAGCCAGGTTGCCAGCGCCGAGGTTTCCGGGCTTTCTCGTGGGTTCTCACCAACCACCTAACCACCCCAACCCAACCCGAAGACCCCGATTCGCCCTCCATTCCCAGTGGGGGGCGGTCGGGGAACATCGAAAGAACACTTGTGGAACCCGTACCCCCCCAACCCGAAATGCTCGGGACGACCGACATGGGTACTGAAAGAAAGAGTACAATGCCCAACAGCAGTTCCTGCCCATGTTGAAGAGGACTCGCTGTCCGCGCCGCCGCGGCCCGTGTCCATTCGAAGCAGAAGGCCGCCCGCCCAGCCGCGGCCGCTGTTGGTTTGGGACAAGACTTGTTGTTGGGCACTGTGCCCACTTTTTCCGTACTCCAGATGTCGTAATAAAAGGGAGGGGGTCTGGACCCTCCAAGACGAGCCATTTCAGACCCCCCCCCGTGGGAGAACTCTCCAAAACATCGTCCCCAGACCCCCCCAGGCCCTCCAAGACAGCCTGGAAGAGACCCCCCCCGAAATGAGACCCCCCTCCTTTTATTACGAAATCTGGAGTACCCATCTCGGGCGTCCAAAAGTGCGGGTCTTCAGGCCATATAGGTTGGGGTGGTCAGGTAGGCAGTCGGGTGCTCGGCGGCTTTCCAGCCTCCGGGTGCCTTCCCGCGGCTGCGCCCCGCCGGCAGCCTGCCCGGGGGTGCCCGCGTCGTCTCGAACGGCCGACGGAGGGCCGGCCCGAAGATCTCCGGGGCAGCTGGCCAGCGGGTCAGGCAGTGGCGAAGCGTCCTGGCCAACCAAGCAATGTTCTGAGAACCTTTTGTGGTGTCCACGGCATGTTCTCAGAACACTTCTGGCTGGGAGTGTTTTGTTTAGCCACATCGGGTCAATGTTCTAAGAGCACTGGTTTTGTTCTTAGAGCATTTTTGGGTTCTAAGAACATTTCGTGGTAGGACTATAGGAATGCTGGGACGGTCGGTCCCTGCTCAAGTGAGGGAGACGAGACACAACGAGGTTGGCTTGCTTTCCTCCCATCTCCACCGATGGCTCGGGTGGTTGGCGGCTTCCTTCCGCTGGTTGCCTCCGCTTCTCTTTCCTGCCCTGCACCCGCCAGGCAAGGCATTTCCTGCCCTGCGGTCGGCGATGCCCGTCTCGCGTTGGGACCTTCAGTTTTTGGTACTCTTCCACGGAGGTGGATCAGTGTCCTGCCGCTGCCCGTGAGTGAGATTACCACTAGATGGATCTCGCTGGCGCGTCCGATAAGAAATCGTGCTTCCCTCCTTGTCGGGGTGTGCGGTGATTCCCCACAGGCCCCGCCCATCGAGTCCTGGCCCCAGTGGCTCTGCGAGGGTAGAGGGTAGGTTCATGGCAGCTGCCGTGCGGTCTAGACCTCAGCTGCCATGCCTTCGGGCTTTTCTGTTGCACATGAAGTCTCGCGCACAGGGCCGTGGCGGCAGTCGCTCAGTGCTAATTCGCACTGTTTCGTGTCCGAGGCGCTGGCATCATGCTGCGTGGCAGACGATCAGTGTGCAGAGAGCGTGCTGTCTTTGCTGGCCGCCGCAGTAAACTTAAACTTGCACCGCGCCAGTTCCAGTGAACGCGCCGCGATGGGTGAGCGCTGGGATGGTCGACTGTTCATTCATTAAGAGCAAGACTGGAGGAGAGCTGACATCGACAGCCTACGGTGCGAATGTGCAGTGCTACAAGAGCAGTGCCGCCAGGCGTAAACTTTGCCTTTGTAGCGGATGTGTGGATGCACAGAACAGGTCCGAAACGTGTTTCGTCTGCAGTGCGGATGGCTCCTACGACGGGAAACAATGGCTGTGTATTCGCACACTTTGCCGACTGTGTGATGTAGGCGTAGTGGCAGACCAATAACGTTGTTATGGCATCACAAGTACACTCACACTTGTGGAATCTGTCAGTCCACAAGGGCATTGCTCTTGCGGGCGACTGTCTTCTTTCGTATGTATGTATATATGGTATGGTATGGTATGGGATGGGATGGGATGGGATGGGATGGGATGGTATTGTATGTATGTATGTCTGTCTGTATGTATGTATGTATGTATGTATGTATGTATGTATGTATGTATGCATGCATGCATGCATGTATGTATGTATGTATGTATGTATGTATGTATGCATGCATATGTGTATGTATGTATGAGTGTATGTATGTATGTATGTATGTATGTATGTATGTATGCATGCAGGTATGTATGTATGTATATATGTGTGTATGTATGTATGTATGTATGTATGTATGTATGTATGTATGCATGTATGTATGTATGTATGTATGTATGTATGTATGCATATCTATATATGTGTACACATTTATTCATATGTATGCATTTGTATATATAAATGTATGTATAGAATCTGCATGCATGTGCATGTACATCTATCTATCTATCTATCTATCTATCTATCTATCTATCTATCTATCTATATTTCTATGGGTAGGGGGTCCCGGGCCCCAAGAAGTGCACTGATCTATCTTCCGGCCGTTTCGGGCCCAGCGGGCGGCGCAACAAAAACGTCAAAGGGTGCCGAGAGACGTCCAAGAGGGCGCCAAGATGGCCCAAGAGCGCTCCAGGAGAGCCCAAGACCGCACAGGAGCGTTTCACAATTGGTCCAGCATGGCTTGAAGACAGCCTTAGAGGGCTTCAAGACGGCCAAGATGCTCTTAAAAGGACTCCCACGAGAGTCAGGAGGCGAAAACAAGTGTGTTATTCCGATGGTTTTTGAAGGTTTTTCGTGTTCTCGTTGTTTCGTGCTCCCAACGGTCCAAGACAGCCCACGAGACCCTAGAAATCAGCTCAACACGGCCCAAGAGGGACCCAAAGAGGGCGCCACGACGGCGCAAGCGAGCCCCAAGACGGCCCAAGAGCGCCCCAAGACGGTCCAAGATGCGCCCAAGATCGCCCAAGAGGGCCCCAAGACGGCCCCAAGAGGGGCCCAAGAGGGGGAACACGAACCGACAATTCGAGCCTTCCGCCCCAAGAGGCCTCCAGGAGGCCCCAAGAGGCCCCCAACAGAGCCCAAGAAGCCCCCCAGAGGCCCCCTAGAGGCCCCACGAGGCCCCAAAGAGGCCCAAAAAGAGGCCCCAAGAGCACCCCAAACGGCTCTAAAGAGGCCTCCAAAGCATACCGGTGTATAGCAAAGGACCGCCTAGCCTATCGTGGCATCGCAGCGTTGCATGACATGACACGGCACGGCCTAGCACGACAGAGATAACCGTGTCAGTGCATATCACAGGATGTTTCAGCATGCCATGGCAATGCATTCCATAGCAGTGACTAGCTGAGCCTAGCACTGCACGTCACGACGTAACATTGCCTAGCATGGCATTGCATCTCATGGCACATCGCGGCGTACCATGGCATTACAATGCACATACACTAATCGAACAGCACCGTACTGCTCTGCGCAGCAGTAAACAGACATCATGGAAATATCATACCCCCGTTGTTGCTCTTGTTGTCGTCCTGTTTATTTTAGCCTAGCAGCTCATAGCATGGCATAGCATTGCATTGCATTGCGATGTCTAGCACGGTATGTCGTGTCTGTGTATACCATGTAACGCGGCAGCATCGCTTTTCCTAGGAAACGTAGCATGATTTGGCTCAGCGTATCATCACATATCTTATCATAGCATTTCACAGCACAGCATGGCATGGCATGCAATGCGCACTGTCGAATACATCGTGTTATTGCATTGCATACTGCATATTGGCATTGCGCTTTATAGCGTAGCATGGTGTATCAGGGCATTCCATAGCATAGTGCAACGTAGGGCTGTAGCGCTGCATTTTTCCTGGCCCATGGCTTGGCGACAGATCACTGGTCGACCGGTCGATGATAGCGGAGGAGGATGAGTGAGGAAGGGGCAGGAGGAAACAGAGAATGTTGACATCATTATTCATGACCGGCTTGTTGTTTCAATGCGGTCAGCACTCGACCAGCTAGAACGTAAGCGCGCGCGATGCACGCGCGATGGTTTTGGTGTATATATATGTATGTATGCATGTATGTATGTATGTGTATGTGTATGTATATATGCACGTATGTTTGTATGTATGTATATATGCATGCATTTGTATATGTATAGTTATATGTATATGTATGTATGTATGATTGCCACTATACAGTATCATACGTATATGTATGTATGCATGCGCATAAGTATGCATGTGTGTATGTATGCGTGTATGTGTGTACGCATGAATGCATGCATGACTCTAGGTATGTCTTTCGGTCTGTCCCTACGTTCGTATGCCTGCCTGCATGTATGTATGTATGTATGCATGTTTTCATGTATCAATGCATGCATGTATGCTGGTATGTATGCATGTATGTGTGTGTATGTATGCATGTATGCATGAACGCATGCTTACATGCATGTTTGTATGTGTATACATGGAGTTTTGTATGCATGCATGTATGCATGTATGCATGTAGGCATGCATGTATGCATGTATGTATGTATGTCTGTATGCATGTATGCGTGTGTATATATATATATATAAAATGTATATACCTGTCTGTCTGTCTGTCCGTCCGTTTGTCTGTCAGTCTGTCTGTCAATCAGTCTGTCTGTATGTATAAATTTGTGCATGTAATATATCTCTCTCTATATATGTATATATATATATATATATATATATATATAGGTACGTATGTATATGCGTACGCATGTATTTATGTATGTACATGTGTGTATACGTGTATTCATGATTGTGTCTATGTATGTATGTACTTATGCGAATGCCACCGTTGTGCACCTTGTAGCTGGGCGCCTTATGTTGTGCAACCTGGTTGATTGTGCGGAAAGCCATTTTGTTCAGGAGCAAGGGCGATTATATCTGAAAGTTAGAACTAATCTTTCGTCGTAGGGCCATTTTGGGAGTCCCGATCCGATCCCTGACGCCGCTCGCAAGACTGAGGGCAAAGCATGTTACGAATTCGTCTGTGGTGCCAGCCGGGGCCAAGTAAGGACCTCCGGAGGCTGAATCTTGCCATCAATATCCCTTTGTGTTTTTCCTCGACGAGAGGAGGTGGGGTATACCAGCGTGTATACGGTCGGACGGAGGTGTAAGATCGAGGTCGGCTTGGGGAGGGTGCCCTGATGTTCTTCGTGCTTGTTGGATGTTTTCGTGCATCCTGGGGCAGGGTACCCTCAAATGTCCTTCAGGTTTGGCCGGCGGAGGGTGTCGTGTTCTTGGAGGATGTGCTGCCCGCATGCGGCATCTATACACCACCACCGTGCTGGCAAGGGTCATCCTGGCCCCACTATGGTGCATACGCCCTCGTGGCATCGGCCAGAGGGCGTATACACCATGCCGGGGCCCGGGATGGCCCTGGCCAGCTACGGTGGAGGAGGAGGGGGAGGAGGGAGGAGGAAGGATGGAGGAGGAAGCAGGGAGGAGGAGAGGGGAGGGAGGAGGGAGAGGAGAGGGGGAGGGAGAGGGAGGGAGGGAGGGAGGGGGGAGGGGGGAGGGAGGGAGGGAGGGGAGGGAGGGAGGGAGGGAGGAGGAGGAGGAGGAGGAGAGGAGGAGGAGGGGAGAAGGAGGGAGGAGGAGGAGAAGAGGGGGGGGCAGGGGGAGGAGGAGGAGGAGGAGGAGGAGGAGGAGGAGGAGGAGGAGGCGGAGGAGGCGGAGGAGGAGGAGGAGGCGGAGGAGGCGGAGGAGGCGGAGGAGGGAGGAGGAGGAGGAGGAGGAGGAGGAGGAGGAGGAGGAGGAGGAGGAGGAGGAGGAGGAGGAGGAGGAGGAGTAATACTAATAATAAGAAAACTGAGAATACGAACATCATTCATACATAGAAGTATAAGTAGAAGTATAAGCATAAGTATAGGCAGCAGCATAAGAAGACTAATCATATTAAGAAGACGAAACAATGGCCATAAGAAACATACTAATAAGAGGAGGAGGAGGAGAAGGAAGAGGAGGACCTTCTCTCAAGTGTAAAGGTGCCTTCTGCGCATTCTTCTGTCCTAGGTCTAGCCGTACCTCCTCTCGACGACATCTTTTCACCCCGAGCCTCGAGCTTCAGGGCCCTGGGGCGGCAGCGGAGGCCTCGAGGGCCTCGAAGCACGCTCGCCAGGGGGCCCTCGACGGCCTCGAGGGCCCCCGAGGCCTCGAGGGCCCCGACCGAGGACCAGGCTCGAGGGCCTCGAGGGGCGCAGGAGCCTCGAGGGCCTCCCAAGGCCGCGCAGGCCGCGCAGGCCGCGAAGGCCCCGAAGGCACCGCGGGGGGGCGGCCGCCGCCCTCCGCGGCGCGGCCGGGTCACTCCCCCGCGCGCTCCCGCCGAGGCGCTCCGCGAGGAGCTCGAGGCGCTCTCGCCGGGCCGGGCCGCGGCGCTGGACGGGTGCGGGCCCAGACCCCCTCGCGTTGTGGCATAAGCACGACGCCCGGAGATCCTGGCGTCGCAATCTGTTTTCGAGCCCCGGGAGCCTCACGGATCGGACCAGCTTCAAGAATGGCGCAGGAAGGTGGTGACTGGGGCTCCAGGCGTGATTTTTCGCGACGCTGCAACTTTTTGCCTTACTATTATCGGCCTCCGGGGGCCGTCACCGGGCCCCGGGATCGTCGACGAAACGACTCAGGATGAAAGATCGGTTCCGGGGAAGGGGTCCAGACCTCTGGGGGTCGACGTTGTGAAAGATCACGATGTCGGCGGTCTGGGGGGTGGGCGGGGCCCGTCTCGATCGATGCCGGCCTCGGCCGGCCCGATGCCATTCGACTACACACAAGAGTGACCCTTCGCCGGAGGGACCTATGGTGCGGGCTCATCGGGACCCCCGATCGCTGAGCGCGATGCGATGGCGGCTGCTTGCGCGTTTCGATTTGGCCACCTTGTGCGCCGACTCAACCCGCGCACCTAAGGGCGCTCTTGCCCAGGGTCACTCTTGTGTGTCGCCGAGAGCAGGGCCCGGGCCCGTCTCGATTCGATCGATCCGGTTCGACGCCGGCCTCGGCCGGCCTGATGCCGCTCGATGTCGAGCTCCTGGCGATCCAGCGCGGCCCGGATCCGGCACGGTGCTGCTGCTGTTTTTTTTTCGACCCAGGCAAGTTTGCGTGCACAGCATTCCCCCCTCGGCCACGCGCAGAGGGGGGTAGTTAGGGGGAGGCTTCTCAGAAGCACCCCTGCTCATTAGAAGGCGCGGGCCCAGTCTGTAGATGCAGGGCTGGCGCCTTCTGAGAAGCAGCCTCCTTCTAAAAAGCCTTCCCCTCTCCTCCTGCCCCCTTGGTGCTCGCCGCCCCCCTCCCGCTCCGCCGCCTTTTCAAGAAGCGCTGGGCCGAAAAGGCGTGCAAGCGAGCCCAGACCTGCGTGAAGTCCAGATGCTTCCTTTCACGCCTCGCCTCCCCCCCATGCGACGACGACGACGACGACGACGACGACGACGACGACGACGACGACGACGACCTCGACGGCGGCGGCGGCGGCGGCGTCGGCGACGCCCCCCCCACTCGGTGGCCTCCATGCGAGTAAACTTCCCCCCTCCATGCGAGTAGGAATGCTTGGGCCCAAGGAACAGCCGCCAAGGGGCGTCGGTCAGGGGCACCCCCTCACCTCCTCCCTCCGTGGAAAAATCACAACTGGCGTTTCTTTGGCAGCTTTCGGCCTCCTGTGGCCCTCGCCATGCCCGGTGGCCCTCGTGGGCCTCGCCATGCCCCAGGGACCCTCAGGGAACGACTCGGGATGAGACGCCGCTCCCATGGAAGGGGTCTCGACCTCTCTGGGCCCACGCTCTGACAAAAGTTGTGTGTTCTGGGGCATCAGGGTGGATGGGCTCAGATGGGGGTTCAGTTCTGGGACCTGGCTTCCTTCGATGATCATGATGGTTGGGTTAACCTTGTGGAGCTCGTGAATGATTATCCGTGGAACACAGGAAAAACGAGACACGACGGGTATAAT